TCTTCTAGCATCAGCCTCTTAGTGCCTATCAGTGACATAAATGATAATGCTCCAGCCTTCACACAGCCCTCCTATACAGTCTTTGTGAAGGAGAACAATCCCCCTGGTGCTCACATCTTCACAGTATCTGCCTTGGACCCAGATGTAGCTGAGAATGCCCTGATCACCTATTGGATAGACGAGAAGCTGTGGCCATTGTCAAGCTACATCTCTGTACATTCGGAGAGTGGAAAGCTCTATGCTCTGCAGTCCTTGGACTATGAGGAGTTGAAACTGCTGGAGTTCCAGGTGAGAGCCAAGGATGCTGGAATGCCCTCCTTGTGTGGCAATGCGACTGTCCAAGTCTTTGTGCTGGATGAGAATGACAACACACCTGTCGTGTCAGGATCATCAGAAGAGAACCTGATTCTTCTAGTGGTCCCCATGATGCCTGGGCATATTGTAGGCAAGATCCATGCCTTGGATGCGGATTCTGGCTACAATGCGTGGCTCAGGTACGAACTGGTTGAAGAAAGCAATGGTCCATGGTCTGTGGGGCAGTATAGCGGTGAGGTGAGTACCAAATATCCTCTGGATGAGTCAGAAGGAGGCAAAATCCAGAGTGTTCTGGTTCTTGTGAAGGACCATGGGAAGCCTGAGCTCTCAGCCACAGCCACTCTGAGTGTGTCACTTGTGACGAGTGGTCAGACAATCAAAGCGGATATTCAACTCTCCAAGTCAGGAGAGAGCTTCATGTCTCTGGTGAATTCAATCAACATCTATTTGATCATTGCCATCTGCTCTGTTTCCAGCCTGTTCCTGCTGGCTGTTTTTGTTTATATGGCTCTACGATGCCAGTCCAAGGCAAAGGGAGCCATGGTGTATGGTCCTGGCACAGCCACCCTGGTTTGTGCCAGTGAAGTGGGCAGCTGGTCCTATTCCAATCGCCACAGCCACATCCTGGCAGGGGTGAGCACAGAGGCTGGTGCCAAGAGTGACCTTATGATTTTCAGTCCCAACATTCCTGTTTCTGCAGATAATGGGGAACATAGAAATGGAAGTGAACTGCTTCCAGATACATCTAGAGAGGTAAGTTATCCTGCTTGAAATTCTTTCAACTTGATATTTTCCTACTGCCAGTTTTGGAACAGTGTTACTACAATATATGTTTCATAATTTTATCATAGATAATTTTTATAGAAATTCATTGATGAAAATCTGTTAATAGTTTGTTTCGTAACTTAAGTAACTCTTTTACGTATGCCTAGCAGTCTTTCTGATTAAATATTTTTGAAATGGGAGTGGTCACAAATAGATCTTAAGTTTTTTTATAGTTAGCCAACTTTTTCTTCTGTTCTACTCCATTATAAAGAAATATGTTCATTGTCTGCCTGATTCTTTAGTTTGTAATTCATGTATGAATCTCGAAATGGGACTCTAGTGCAGTACTGTACTGATTTTCCTTTTGTCAATACACTGATTCTTTAATGAATGGAATACAAATTTTCAATTACACTTTTTAAACATATTGTGTTTTTTAAGCACAGTTTGCAAACTTTTAAAAATGATTAAAACATTTGTTGTTGCGTCTTCACTTAGGATTTCCAATTAACCATTCATTTAGCAACCATTCAGAGTTATGATATCACTGAATGAGGAAACTTAACCACTGGTCCTTGTAGTTGTGGCCATCGTAGTAGCATCTCTGCTGTGACTTGATCACATATCTTGCACTTGGTGATGGGCTCTCAGTTATGACGGCTGCAATAACCTGAGGTCGTATGTTTGCTCTTTGTGTTCTTCACTATTAGCTTCTGACAAAGTCAGTGGGAAAGCTTGCAGGAAGTTGCTGATGCCCGCCCCCTGATACGGCGTGCTTAAGGACTCGGAGGGATTGGCTTAACGGCAGAATCTGGGACAGCTGCTACTGCTATCATAAGTTGAGGTGACCACGTGTGACACTGTCCTTTTCTGACCATGTGGCTTTTAGTGATGGGGTTGCTTGTCCCAACTACCACTGTTAAGCAAGGACTACCAGTATTGTGAAGTTCCTCACTGGCTGAAAAAAAATGATTCATCAACAACACTCACATTATATATGTTACCTAGACTATCATATTTCTGGAATAAAAGTCATCCAAGATTATGATGCACAGGAAATCAATTTTTCTTCAATGTAAGTGGCCTTGTTAAAAATAAATGTTTCTTATGAGGATTATTTAACAGAGTAACAGAGTTGAAAGAAACCTTGGAGGTCTGAATTATGATACTGGATAGAAATTTTGAAATAGACATTTGAGGTTCATCAATCTGAATTCCTCCAAAGCTTTACACTCTATTCCTGTATTAAGCCTTTGCCCCCTCAAATCCTCTGTGCTGCCTCATCATGCTAGGAAGTTGTTCCTGGGAGAGGAAATGAAGAATTCCAGCAGTTTATTCCAAGGATATATAATCCCAGCAGGGTCAACAAGGTGTGCAGGTAATCCCATTTGTCCAGCTAAAGCAAGCAGGCTTCCATATGGGGCAACAATGATATAGGAAGATGCAGGAGGCTAATAATTACTTTAGTGATAAGGGCAAAGTACATATTGTGGAGGAATATATCACTCTAGCATTCTACCAAAATAACCACATAGATAGAAAATATAAAGTGATAGACAATACAATGCCAGATGCCTCCAATTGAATGTCATTCAACAGGCTACTGAGGAAGAGCTGGGGATCTTTTAGAACATTAATGGTGTTTATGACATGACTAAATTAAAGTTTTTAGGATGTCTAATTGCTGACGTTGCTATGCAAGAAAATGAAATCTGAAGCTGTAAAGACAGAATTATAGTGAGAACGTGAAACATAGGAGTCATGACTATGGGAAAGTTTAAGATAGTGAAAGATGAAATTAATCAAGTACACATTGACATCTTAGGATCAGATAACTGAAATAGATCAGAACTGGACACTTTCAGTCAGAGGATCATACTATTTACTGCTCAGGACATGAAAGACGAAGGAATCAGGAAGAAAAAGTACTTGGATAGAAAGCAGTCACAATAACTGAATAATTAGGCTTTGTGGATAATCTTTTAATATGATGATCATCCAAGTTTAAGCTGCAGGCACTAGTGCAAAAAAAGAGGAGGTTGATGAATTTTATGGTCATGTTCAGACTGAAATAAAACAATTCTAGTAAGATGTGTTGTCTATGGTTGGGGACTAGAATGTTACAACTGGAAATAATTAAGGAGGGCGATGTAATTGGACTGTGTGGCCTAGGAAACGAAAATGATGCAGGAGAACCACTTTTCAATATCTGCCAATAGAAAGATTTCTTCTTGGCTAACATAGTCTTCTAGCAGTCAAAATAATGCCTATATACATGAATATCATTCCATGGAGAACACAGACAATTGGAAGTTTCAAGTAAAATTCAAGTTCTAAGTAAAAAAGAAACCCAACCAGTTTCCATGATATAATCATAACCTACCATTTCAAGAAGAATATCCAGAATCACTTTGAAATTCTTAACCTCATTGATAAGAAAGCAGAGGAACTGTTTGAATGAAATCAAAGAAGTTGTTAAGGATGAATGTGAAAAGAGACTGCCAAAGACCAAGAAATATGAGAAAATATGGATATCAGAACCCATCGAAATTGCCAAAAAGGGAAGAGAAGTCAAGGGCAAGAAAAACAAAGATGTCAGGAAGGAACTTAACAAAGAATTTCAAAAAGCTATTAAAAGACACAAGCCGTATTACAACAATGTCTGCAAACATATTGTAGATGGAAACAGATATGGAAAAACAGAAAAGTCTTCCAAAAGTTTTTCAAACTCAAAAGGAAGTTCTAACATTGAATTGGTATGCTAAAGGGTACCAATAAACAGCAAGAAATTGATTCACAACAGATCAAATAAAGATGGAAAGAGTCCATTGAAATTCTTGCAAGAGAAATGTCTACATCCAAGATACTTAGAAAATATTCTTTACTTCTAAGAATCTCTAGTACTAGAAGATAGATCAGCAGTATGTTCATTACAAATTTGGAAGGCTACAGGAATATTTGGAGAGTGCAGAAATGCAGTAAGCAACAGAAGATGAATCTCTAAAGGTTCTAACAAAAACTATGGCTGCAACTCTGAAGAATGACACAATGGCCAATGTAAAAAAAAAAAAGACTTAATAGAGTGGGTAAACCATCATACAACATCCTTTAATTCATGTTAGGAAAATCATTTTAAATTAATCTGACCCAGACTAGAACCTTAAATGGAAAGCCATTCAATATGGCTTTAGAAAAGGCTGAAGAACAAGAGACATTATTGTTAATACGCTCTGGATAATTGAGAAAGCCAAAAAATATCAAAAAGAATATAGAAAAGCCTTCAGTTATGTTTAGCTGTGGAATGTGCTTAAAAAATTAAATCTATATACAGGTCAGGAAGCCACAGTCTGGAAGGAGCATTGTGAGACTCACTCCAGATTAGCAAAGAAGTGAGACAAACTTGTATATTCTCCCCTTGTGTTTTTCACTTATAGACTGAATGTATATTATTGGAATCAGACTGAAAGAACATGAATACAGTGTTAAAACTGGAGGAAGAAACATCAATAACCTGCATTATGCTGATAATATTACATTGACAGCTGAATGATCCGAAAACTTTAGTAATGAAAATCATATTGAAAAAAATTGGCCTACAATTAAAGACCAAACTAATGACATGTACATTAACCAGGCTTGAAGTTGATAATGAAGATTTTTGACCCTGGGGATAGTAGCTTTCATCTTTTAGGACTGACTATTAAGAAAAAGGAATATACAGTGAAAAAATATTCCCTTGCGATGGTATGTATCTTAGGAGACAGAACTATAGATTAGACAAAGGTCAGACAAACAGCAGTTGAGTTCCCAGAAGCACTGGGGGTGTGACAGATATCTCTCTAGTTTCTTGGATTGTAAAGGCAAGGGGGGGGGGGAATTGTACTTTCCAACTTGCAAGATATGTCATTCTTACAAGGTAAGCCAGATAAGAAGCATTCCCAGAAGTACTAGCTCCAGTTTTATTATTAGGATACATTAACAGAATCTTGCAATTGTTGCAAGAAACTTAATGACTAGTGACTTAGAATGTCTTCTAGAATCACCTCAAAATTATTTTGGCAATATAACAGTGGTAAGAAATAACATTTTTTAGACTCAGCAATAGCTAGGTAATGCTAAAAAAATGCTGTAACAGGCTAATCAATGGAAACGACCAAAAATTACTACCCTTTAGAAATACAAATCAGTGCAGAAAATTAATTATCTATTTCACCAGTATATATGATTGCATTAGGTAAAACTGCTTCTTTTCCACCTCATTAAGGTGGAAGTTCTGAATGATCACTTGTGAGGTTCAAAAAGGGGGTTAGGTGACCTATCTATGTAACATTTGTCACATTCTTAAGTATTATCAGATACTTGCCTTTGTGCAATATTATTCACAGGATTATGGCAAAAAAATGGGAATATACTTCTAAATTTAGAAAAGTGCCCTCAGTTAAAACAAATCCTATGTCCAATGCAAGACTGAGCCAGTCAATTTTTGTCTTGATATCAAATATATATTTCAGGAATAAAGTCAGTTAAGATATCACATGAGTTTGAGAACATGCCTTACTTGTCATTTGCTTAAAAGATTCAAGAGCTACATATCCAACTAAGACTCAGATAGGTAGTTAGAAAAGTAATTCTGGTCATAGCCCTCAAAGGAAAAAGAATCATAGGGGCTGAATACAAAATATTTCTGTTTCTCCATTTTGAAATGCGGTCACAAGAGGTCGCTGTTTCCTAAGGAAAGCCTCTAAGTGAAACTGAAAATGCAGAGCCCCTCCCTTAAAGGGACCGACATTCCTGCCGGCCAGATCCACAAGGGAAATATCGAACAACAGAGAAATCACAACAAGCCAAGATCCAACCTATGAAAGCATTGCCAGTATGGCTGGGCTACGTGGGCTCCGCTCCTGACCCCTTGATGGCAAGATATATAGAGAAAAAAGAAAAGGGCTTGCGGGTGCTGTGCCTGTGTCTGCGATGCTTACCTGGCCGACGGGGCTGCTGCAGCTGCTTCTGCTCCAGACCGCCTGGAAAATGGGGAGCGGCCAGCTCCATTATTCTGTGCTGGAGGAATCCCAGCACGGCACCTTTGTGGGCCGCATCGCCCAGGATCTGGGGTTGGAGGTGAGCGAGCTGGTGCCTCGGATGTTCCGGATGCTGTCCAAAGGAGAGAAGGACTATTTTGAGGTAAACCTGCAGAATGGGATCTTGTTTGTAAATTCCCGGAGAGACAGGGAGGAGCTGTGTGCCAAGACTGCAGACTGTGTCCTTCATCTGGAGGTGATTGTGGAGAAACCTCTGAGGTTCTTCCATGTGGAGGTTGAAGTCAAAGACATTAATGACAATGCTCCCGTCTTCTCTGCCAGGAAAAGGATCCTGAGCATATCAGAACTGATAACAGGTACCCAGTTCTCCTTGGAAGGGGCTTCTGATGCAGATATTGGTACTAATGCGCTGTTAACTCACAGGCTCAGTCCAAACAACCATTTTGTTTTGGATTCAGGAAATAATGAAGATGAGAGTACATCTGTAGTACTTGTGTTAAAGGTTCCACTTGACAGGGAGGAGAGCCCTGTGCATCATTTAATACTGACAGCCACTGATGGGGGTGAACCAAAACTCACAGGAACTGTTCAGCTGGTCATCAATGTGCTGGATGTTAATGACAACCCTCCTGTATTTAACCAATCTGTTTATAGGGTAAAGTTGCTAGAAAACACTGCTAGTGGGTCATTAGTTATTACTCTGAATGCAACAGATTTAGATGAGGGGATTAATAGGGAAATCTCTTATTTTTTTACAGATAGCCTAGCTCTTCATGTCACAAAGCTGTTTAGTATAAATTCTGATAATGGGGAAATCATAGTGATTGGAAAATTGGATTATGAAGAAAGTAAGTTCCATGAACTTCCAATTGTTGCAGAAGATAAAGGCAATTCTCCATTATCGGGGCACTGTAAAGTTCTCATTGAAGTGTTGGACATAAATGACAATATTCCAGAATTATCTGTGAATTCTCTCTCTGTGCCACTGCCAGAGGACTCCCCTCCAGGGACTGTGGTAGCCATCCTCAGTGCTTCTGACAGGGATTCTGGCACCAATGGACAAATCAGCTGTTTCCTCTTGCCCACTGGAGTACCCTTCAAACTTGAGTCCACATTCAAGAACTACTACTCCCTGATTGTTGGTGCAGTCCTAGATCGAGAGCAGGTGGCTGAGTACAGGATGGTTGTGACAGTGGAAGATCAAGGCGTTCCACCCCTGTCTTCTAGCATCAGCCTCTTAGTGCCTATCAGTGACATAAATGATAATACTCCAACTTTCCCACAGCCTTCCTACACAGTCTTTGTGAAGGAGAACAATCTCCCTGGTGCTCACATCTTCACAGTATCTGCCTCGGACCCAGATGTAGCTGAGAATGCCCTGATCACCTATTGGATAGATGAGAAGCTATGGCCATTGACAAGCTACATCTCTGTACATTCAGAGAGTGGAAAGCTCTATGCTTTGCAGTCCTTGGATTATGAGGAGTTGAAACTGCTGGAGTTCCAGGTGAGAGCCAAGGATGCTGGAATGCCCTCCTTGTGTGGCAATGCGACTGTTCAGGTCTTTGTGCTGGACGAGAATGACAATGCACCTGCCGTGTCAGGATCATCAGAAGAGAACCTGATTCTTCTAGTGGTCCCCGTGATGCCTGGGCATATTGTAGGCAAGATCCATGCCTTGGATGCGGATTCTGGATACAATGCGTGGCTCAGGTACGAACTGGTTGAAGAAAGCAGCAGTCCATGGTCTGTGGGGCAGTATAGTGGTGAGGTGAGTACCAAATATCCTCTGGATGAATCGGAAGGAGGCAAAATTCAGAGTGTTCTGGTTCTTGTGACGGACCATGGAAAACCTCAGCTCTCAGCCACAGCCACCCTGAGTGTGTCACTAATAACAAGTACCCAGGACATCAAAAAATATAATCAGCATCTAATATCAGGAGAGATCTTCATGCCCCTGGTGGACTCAATCAACATCTATCTGATCATTGCCATCTGCTCTGTTTCCAGCCTCTTTTTGCTGGCCATTCTCATCTACGTGGCCCTGCGATGCCACTGCAAGGCAAAGGAATCCATGGTTTATGGCCCTGGCATGGCCACCCTGGTCTGTGCCAGTGAAGTGGGCAGCTGGTCCTATTCCAATCGCCACAGCCACATCCTGGCAGGGGTGAGCACAGAGGCTGGTGCCAAGAGTGACCTTATGATTTTCAGTCCCAACATTCCTGTTTTTGCAAATAACGGGGAACTTAGGAATGGGACAGAATTACTCCCAGATTCAGCTAAAGAGGTGAGTTGGTCTGGTTTTAGAGTTTTTGACATCCATTCAAAATCATATTTCTGCACTAACAATTTTGGATCATCTTTATACAAAAAGTGTCTTCTGATAATCGTTATCCCTAAAATCACAATATAGAAATAAAAAGATAGGTAATTCTTATTTCCAGGGAAATATTTTTTGGAATGGGTTGGTAGAAAAAGATCGTTTTCGAAAATGTATTTTATTTAACAGTGACTAGTTTTGTCTTTCAAAAATAAAAAATAAATAAGATCTTCACTGCACCCTGCTATTTTGATCTTTTGTTTATAATTCACCTACTGAAAAAAATATTCTGAATTGTTAAATTCTTTTTGTTTTTGTTTTCAAAAATAAACATTTCTCTTTTTATATTTTTTTAAAATATAAATTAGATAATTTTAATACTTTTAAGTAATTAAAGTAGATTTTAATACATTAAAGTCCTTTCAAATTAAAAAAAATATCCTTTTCAGTGAAAATGGGAACATAGATTCTGATTTTGCACTACAAGGAGTCCTTGGTGACTGTCTAGTGCAGGAGTGTCAAACTGCCAGTCCGCAGGCCGGATGCATCCTAGTGAAATTGTGCCCACCCCATTGCCGGAAAAAAAGTCGCGATACGACTGTTTGCAGTTACAACAGTGATGAAAAAGTAACTTTGTGACTAGTCCTCACATTTATGACTTTCACAGGTCTATAAGGAAAGGAAACCTGAAGGAAGATCAAGAAATTGATTTGTATATCAATAATCATTCTTCTGTTTATATTTCATCTAATAAACAGATGGGATATTAGTAGTAATACCCTTTCTTCTTTCATTTCTATAAGAACTCCCCAGTAGTATCATAGACACAGTTCATTCAGATAAGAAACTTCTTCACAGACAATAATGCCTCTTTTTAAAAACATTATTTGTGCCTGGACAATGATTCATCACCATATCAGGTCCTGTGTGGAGCACATTGGGCAGCAAAGGTTTGACCACTATTTTGATCATTCCCAGCATCTTCGGCATCGCCCCCAGGGAGATTAGTAGTCTTAAGAGCTTCCTCTAAGTCAGTGGTTCTCAACCTGTGGGTCGGGACCCCATTTGGGGTCGAACGAGCATTTCACGGGGGTTGCCAAACAAGGCTGTCCGCCATTTTTTCCTCCTTTTCTTTGGCCACGCCCCTGGCACCCAGTGATGTATAAGTGGTTGGGGGTCACCACAACATGGGGAACTGTATTATGGGGTCGCAGCATTAGAAAGGTTGAGAACCACTGCTCTAAGTGTTTGGTGCCTGGTTTTCTGAGGCCAGCCTGCTTTCCTCTTTTCTCCGGAAGGCATCCAATTTAGTGCAATTTTGGGATGCCAATCTTTAGCACACGTAAGCTATGGCCAATAAGCTGCATTTGATGTTCATTCATAGTTCACAATAGGTGTTCTAAATCAGATCTTTGTAGTACGTCTTCATTAGCAATGTCACGATGTGAGATCTAGAGGATTACTTTTAAAATATTATTAAGTTGCTAGGTTTAATAAGTTTAGTTAATAGGTTTAAAAACACATCTTAGTTGAGGATTGTTGGTTTGTTTGCAATTTTTAATAGTTAAATGTTGATATGTTTCTTACATGGTATGATATATAGCAGTAAGTCTTAAAAATAAAAAACAAAAATGCAAAGCAAAAACTAAAAAGAAAAGCTAAAAACCAAAACAAAGAACTTGTTCCGCCTTGACTTCAAACATATTGAAAATATAGTGTAGAATTCTCTCCCCTCAACTATCCAGGTGGTCCAATACTCAGGGGCTCCTTTTCTACTGCAATGGCTGAGACCAATAAACTTCTCTGGATAAAGAACAAACTTTTCAGAATCCAGGGGTAAAGAAAAATCATTGGAGAGAAATATATGTTTGATCATCTTTTGCTTTTCTGCCAAACACATTTTGTTAAATTGCCTGGATTTCAGAATTATTGCTGAAAGCAGATCTGAAAAAATAATCACCTTTAAATTTCACTGAAAGTTCTAACTTGCTTAGATGCAAGATATGATCCCATATTGTAGATCTTAAAAATCTATCCCAAAGAAAGCTGGGTTTCTGTACAAATGGAAACAGATGTATATCTAATAAACAGCTTCAATTTCCAACTTGTATTCTAGCTGTAGTGAAAAGATCTTAAGTAGAAATTCCTATATAAGGATAATTATAGATGGATCTTACTTGGCATTGTAAGGAATATTTAAAAATCATAAATATTATTTCTGGGAAGTTAGCACTGTAAATATGTCAGTATATCTTTATTTATTTTCAACCCTGAAATACTGTCCGCAGAAGCATCAAGCTGTATTTGATTTCTTTTTTAATGTAAAACTTAATTCTGCGAATTGTTTCTGTAAAAGAAATAATCAATTCTTTGCTTCATTTACAAAACATTATTTTCCTTATCCAGTACAGTTTTTATCTGCATTAATTCTGTCTTTTTAAAAGAGTGTAAATCATGAAAAACAACTTTTAAAGACAAATGCAGCTCTATACAGTTTCCTTCTGTGTAATTTTGTTATGTTCTATTGTGAGTTAGGAGTTATTCACATATTTCTTTTTTCAGCTCCAACTATTTGTATGTTCTTGTATGAGTGGAATGACTTCTATTGTATTTTTCTTCTTAACTTCAGATCCCAATTTATCACTACAGAGCAGTAATTTAAACAAAGACAGACAAAAGGAAGTAACCTCTTAAACTCATGGGGGAACCAGTTCCTAAATATGGCATATTACCAAGTAGAAGTTCCTAAACTTATTTCCTAGAAAAGAACTCCACAAAAGCATCAGACACATCTCACCTAAATAAGAATTTAATTCCAGACAATAATAAAGATCTATAAAGCTGCGCAGTTAACCATTGCTAGATATTTATATAACTTCAACTCAGTTCTGAGAAATGCTGAGACATGGCTTCACATGGAGTGTGGTAAAGTACCACCAAATTTGAATATGGGCCTTCTTTTCAACATTTTTGTATGTGATCTGAACAAGGAGATGAAAGAAAATGATAAAGTTACAGGTGATTTAGGTGGGACAACTAGTTACATTAGAGGACAGAAATATGATCAATTTAAAGGTGAACATGAGATAGTAGTGTGTCATAACAATTAAAAAGAAATACAATTTTAGACTGCAATAATTTAAATTTAATTTTCAAGTTATGGGAAGCAGTAATACCACTCTATTCTGCATTGGTTAGATCCACTTGAAGTACTACTATATGTCCAGTTCTGTACAAAACACCTATCAAATTTGTGCAAATAAGGTATATGAGAATTATCAAGAGACTTGAAGGAAGGTTTTGGGAGGAAAGATTAAAGAATATGGGTAAAATTATAGCTCCAGACTCTACTTCAGAGATTGTATCCCAATAATGGCATATTCCAATTTCCATACATAATTTGGGTCAAACCTTTGGTATTAAAAAATGTTAGCTGCTAAAACTAATTATTCACCTGTTATAAATAAAAAAATCATTTTCTTAATAGCAGATTTAGATGTAGTTGCTTAGTACACTCTAAATGTATGGGTGTATGGAGCACATCTTGTTATTTGAAATGATACTGCTGAATTAACTTGTTACTGTAGTAGTAGTAGTAGTAGTAATAATAATAATAATAATAATAATAATAATAATAATAATAATAATAATAATAAAGTTGGAAGGGACCTTGGAGGTCTTCTAATCCAACTCCCTGCTCCCTGCTCAGGAAACCTTATATACCATTTCAAACAAATGGTTGTCCAATCTCTTCTTAAAAACTTCCAGTGTTGGAGCTTTCACAACTTCTGGAGGCAGATTGTTCCACTGATTAATTATTCTGTCAGGAAATTTCTCCTTAGTTCTTGGTTGCTTCTCTCTTTGATTAGTTTCCATCCATTGCTTCTTGTCCTGCCTTCAGGTGCTTTGGAGAATAGCTTCTTGGTGGCAACCCCTGAGATATTGGAACACTGCTAAAATGTCACCCCTAGTCCTTCTCTTCATTAAACTAGACATACCCAATTCCAGCAACCATTCTTTATATGTTTTAGCCTCCAGTCCCCTAATCATCTTTGTTGCTCTTCTCTGTACTCTTTCTAGAGTCTCAACATCTTTTTTACATCATGGTGACCAGAACTGTGTGCAGTATTCCAAGTGTGGCCTTACCAAGGCATTGTAAAGTGGTATTAATACTTCATGTGATCTTGATTCTATCCCTCTGTTAATGCAGCCTAGCACTGTGTTGGCTTTTTTGGCAGCTGCAGCACACTGCTGGCTCATATTTAAGTGATTATCCACTAGGACTCCGAGATCCCTCTCACAGTTACTACTATTGAGTACAGTACCACCTATACTGTACCTGTACATTTGGTTTTTCTTGCCTAAATGTAGAACCTTAGTTTTTTCACCATTGAATTTCATTTTGTTAGATAGGGCCCAATGTTCGAGTCTATCGAGATCCTTCTGTATCTTAAGCCTATCTTTTGGAGTGTTGGCTATTCCTGCCAGCTTGGTTCATCTGCAAATTTGATGAGTTCCCCATCTATCCCCTCATCCAAATCATTGATGGAACAGAGCCCTGGGGCATCCCACTACACACTTCCCTCCATGTAGATGCAGTTCCATTGAGGACCACACACTGAGTACGGCCGGTCAGCCAGCTATGAATCCATCTGGTGGTGATGCTGTCTAACCCACATTTTTCTATCTTATCAAGTGGTAGGATGTGGTCTACTTTATCAAATGCCTTATTGAAGTCCAGTAAATTATATCCAAGCCTTCCTCTGGTCCACTAATTTTGTCATCTGGTCAAAGAATGCAATAAGATTTGTCTGGCATGATCTGTTTTTGACAAGCCTATATTGGCTTTTGGTAATGACTTTGTTTGCCTCTAGGTGTTCACTGATTCGTTGCTTGATTATCTTTTCCAGAATCTTCCCAGGTATTGAGGTCAGGCTGATAGGTCTGTAATTTCCTGGATCCATTTTTTTTCCTTTTTTAAAAATGGAAATTACATCAGCTCTTTTCCAGTCCTCTGGTAGTTCCCCATTGCTCCAGGATCTTTGAAAGATATAGTTCAGTAGTTCTGAAATCACATCTGCCAGTGCCTTCAGAACCTTGGGATGTAATCCATCTGGTCCTGGTGATTTGAACTCGTCTAGGATGGACAGGTGCTCACTTACTGTTTTCTTGCCTTTCTTAACTTGTGTTTCTAATCTGTTTTTTATGGTACTGTTTTTGATAATTGGATATTTTTTCCCTTCGTGTAAAGACAGATGCAAAATACGAGTTAAGTAGTTCTGCTTTCTCCCTGTTGCTTGTCACCTTCTTGTTATTTTCTCCCAATTGTTTCCTTGATTTTTTCTTGTTTTTTATATGTTGAAAGAAGCTTTTTTTTGTTATTTTTGAGTTTTGTTGCAAGTCTTAGTTCATTTTGAGCCTTAGCTTTCCTCACTTCATCTTTGCAGACTCGGGCTATTTGCTGATATTCTGACTTAGTTATGTGCTCTTCTTTCCACTTTTTATTCTTGTCCTTTTTGTCTTTCAACTTATCAGAGAGTTCTTTATGCAGCCATGCTGGTTTCTTTTGAGAGCTGTTATTTTTCCTCTTCGTTGGTATTGTGCTAGACTGGCTTTTATAATCTCACTTTTCAAAATGTCCCAAGCTTCTTGTATTGTTTTCCCCTTGCGGATTCTCATCCATAGAATCCTTCCCAAGCTATAAGTCTATTGAAATTAGCTCTCTTAAAGTCCAAGAGTCTAGTTTGACTATGTTCTATTGCTTGTGCTTTCATAATGTTGAATTCCAATATTGCATGATCACTCCCCCCCCCTAAGGTTCCTGTGGCTATTTAGTTGTATTTTTTTTAGTTCTATTTGCAAACATTTCCCTTTTTTGGAAATCAATAGCTAGTCTGCGTTCTCTGCAATAGGTTTACAATGCTTTTTAAAATTGTATTGGGGTGGAGTTGACAGCTGCATCATCCACATATAGAAGTTGCAAAACATTTTTCTTCTCCTATAACAGCTAATGAAAGTCAGGAGTTCATATAAAAATTAAGCAATAAGGATCCCCAAATATATCCTTGCAGAACCTTTTGATTTGATGTAATTGATCGGGAAGGAAACCCGTAATCTTTGTGTGTTTTTGCCAGGAAAACATATTAATACAGCAACATTAGAAATGCAATTTGTGAAGCAAATTTTACTTCCTGAGGCTAGCAAGGAAGCCAGACAAAGATATGCTAATTTATTCAGTGGCACAGAGATGCTGTGCTCATGGAAGATCAAAAACATTTCTTCCCAATATATAATATTTATACACTGTGCATATACTCAAATGGATTGCAGTATATGACAGCCTATTGGATAATATATAAGATGAGATATCTATGTAACATTTATCACGTTTTTAAGTACTATGGTAAGTAAGAAGGAAATGGATACATATGCATAGACAAGTGTCCTGAGACAAATTTAGATTTGCCATTTCCAATATATTGTTCCTTATTTTGAAATTTTGGTTCAAATGTTTCAAGTCAGTCCAGTCTTCTTTTAATGGCATCATAGTCACCTTGGGCAATTGATAAGGGAACAAGAGAGGCAAACAAGTACACTTGCCATCGCTATATATAGAAATGAAAATATCTATCCAAAAAATGTATGTTAATTAATACAATGTATACACAGTAAAAGAAGAATAAATGCATGTATGAGATTTACAAATGAAGCCAAGCACTCTATGTAAAAGTCAATATATTTGAGAATGAAGATGGAATGATTATTAGAAGTTTGTCATGAATACAGAAGGAAAGTCTGTTTCTACAAATTGAAATTCAGTCACACGAGGTCGCTGTTTCCTAAGAAAACCCTCTAAGTGAAACTGAAAATGCAGAGCTCCTCCCTTAAAGGGACCGACATTCCTGCCAGCCAGATCCACAATGGGATTATTAAAGAAAAGAAAACCAAGAGAAATCTCAACAAGCCAAGATCCAACCTATGAAAGCATTGCCAGTATGACTGGGCTACGTGGGCTCCGCTCCTGACCCCTTGAAGGCAAGATATATAGAGAAAAAAGAAAAGGGCTTGCGGGTGCTGTGCCTGTGTCTGCGATGCTTACCTGGCCGACGGGGCTGCTGCAGCTGCTTCTGCTCCAGACCGCCTGGAAAATGGGGAGCGGCCAGCTCCATTATTCTGTGCTGGAGGAATCTCAGCACGGCACCTTTGTGGGCCGCATCGCCCAGGATCTGGGGTTGGAGGTGAGCGAGCTGGTGCCTCGGATGTTCCGGATGCTGTCCAAAGGAGAGAAGGACTATTTTGAGGTAAACCTGCAGAATGGGATCTTGTTTGTAAATTCCCGGATAGACAGGGAGGAGCTGTGTGCCAAGACTGCAGACTGTGTCCTTCATCTGGAGGTGATTGTGGAGAAACCTCTGAGGTTCTTCCATGTGGAGGTGGAAATCAAAGACATGAATGACAATGCTCCCGTCTTCTCTGCCAGAGAAAAGATCCTGAGCATATCAGAACTCATAACCTCTGGCACCCAGTTCCTATTAGAAGGAGCATCTGATGCAGATATTGGTACCAATGCTCTGTTAACTTACAAGCTCAGTCCAAACAACCATTTTGCTCTTGATTCAGGAAATAATGAAGATGGGAGTAAATCTGTAGTACTTGTGTTAAAGGTTTCACTTGACAGAGAGAAGAACCCTGTCCATCATTTAGTACTGACAGCCACTGATAGGGGTGAACCGAAACTCACAGGAACTGTTCAGCTAGTAATCAGTGTGCTGGATGTTAATGACAACCCTCCTGTATTTAACCAATCTGTTTATAGGGTAAAGCTGCTAGAAAATACAGCTAGTGGATCATTAGTTATTACTCTGAATGCTACAGACTTAGATGAAGGGATTAATAGGGAAATCTCTTATTTTTTTAGTTATAACCTACCTCAACATGTCAGAAATATGTTTAGTATAAATTCTGATACTGGGGAAATCAGAGTAATTGGAAAATTGGATTATGAAGATATTAATTTCTATGAACTTCAAGTTGTGGCAGAAGATAAGGGTACTTTATCTGGACATTGTAAAGTTCTCATTGAAGTGTTGGACATAAATGACAATATTCCAGAAATATCTGTTAATTCTCTCTCTGTGCCATTGCCAGAGGACTCCCCTCCAGGGACTGTGGTAGCCATCCTGAGTGCTTCTGACAGGGATTCTGGCACCAATGGACAAATCAGCTGCTTCCTCTTTCCCCCTGGAGTACCCTTCAGACTCGAGTCCACATTCAAGAACTACTACTCCCTGATTGTTGGTGCAGTCCTAGATCGAGAGCAGGTGGCTGAGTACAGGATGGTTGTGACAGTGGAAGATCAAGGCGTTCCACCACTGTCTTCTAGCATCAGCCTCTTAGTGCCTATCAATGACATAAATGATAATGCTCCAGCCTTCACACAGCCCTCCTACATAGTCTTTGTGAAGGAGAACAATCCCCCTGGTGCTCACATTTTCACAGTATCTGCCTCGGACCCAGACGTAGCTGAGAATGCCCTGATCACCTATTGGATAGACGAGAAGCTGTGGCCATTGTCAAGCTACATCTCTGTACATTCGGAGAGCGGAAAGCTCTATGCTCTGCAGTCCTTGGACTATGAGGAGTTGAAACTGCTGGAGTTCCAGGTGAGAGCCAAGGATGCTGGAATGCCCTCCTTGTGTGGCAATGCGACTGTTCAGGTCTTTGTGCTGGACGAGAACGACAATGCACCTGATGTTTCAGAATCACCAGGAGAGAACCTGATTCTCCTAGTGGTCCCCGTAATGCCTGGGCATATTGTAGGCAAGATCCATGCCTTGGATGCAGATTCTGGCTACAATGCGTGGCTCAGGTACGAACTGGTTGAAGAAAGCAGTGGCCCATGGTCTGTGGGCCAGTATAGTGGTGAGGTGAGTACCAAATATCCTCTGGATGAATCAGAAGGCAGCAAAATCCAGAGTGTGTTGGTTCTAGTGAAGGATCATGGGAAACCTCAACTCTCAGCCACAGCTACCCTGAGTGTGTCTCTTGTGACAAATTCCCAGGCCAGCAAGACAGATATTTATGTGCAACGATCAGGGGAGAGCTTTGTGCCCCTGGTGGATTCAATCAATGTCTATCTGATCATTGCCATCTGCTCTGTTTCCAGTCTATTCCTGCTAGCCATTCTCATCTATGTGGCCTTGCGATGCCACTGCAAGGCAAAAGAATCCATGGTTTATGGCCCTGGCATGGCCACCCTGGTCTGTGCCAGTGAAGTGGGCAGCTGGTCCTATTCCAATCGCCACAGCCACATCCTGGCGGGGGTGAATGCAGAGGCTGGTGCCAAGAATGACCTCATGATTTTCAGTCCCAACATTCCTTTTTTTGCAAATAATGGAGAACTTCAAAATGGTACAGAACTGCCTCCAAATGCATCTAAGGAGGTGAGTTTTGGTCCTTTTTTTAGTGCTTGACATTCAGTCCATATTCTATTTCTCTGATACCGATTTCGAATCACTACTGTTACAATATATTTTTCCATAATTAAGTATTAGATTTGTAACAGATAGCTTTTAAATACATGAGTAACTAAAAAATTGTATTCTACAATATTGTTTATAATTTTTTTAACTTATAAAGTATTTGTGAAGTACCTATCAGAGCATCATGAATGAGTTGCAACTGGAAATATAGCAATTATTTTGATTTGTTTGTTAGTATCATTAATCTAGATACTGGTTCAGATGACAAAAGGTAGAATTGTAATGTTGGATAGGCTAATTCAGGTCATCAAATCCTCCCTCATTCAGTGCAGAAATCCAAAGTAAATCATGATTTACCCAAATGGCTGTCTGAAATACAGTGGTACCTTGGTATTCAACTGCTTTGAAACTCATCAAATCTGGTACTCAATGTATTTTGACATGAAAATGTTGTCCCAGTACTCATCGCTCAAACTGGAACTTGTCGTTGTTGGCTACCTTGTGACTCACTATGTTGTTCTTTATGGGAAAAAATTGTTCGGTACTCATCGTTTTAGGTACTCATGGCACCTCCTGGAACCAATTAACAATGAGTACAAAGGTACCCCTATAGGTCCATATTTATATATCCTATAAAGAGAAAGCTATTTATATTATTGCAATATAATTTTCTTCAATCTGAGAGCTTTGATGGTGAGATTTTTTCCCCACTATATCCTCAGATCTTATTTCTAACTTCTTTTTTTAATCTAGTAATCCAAGAATTTAGTTTGTCCCTGTTAAAAAGTGGTTTTATATTTTGAATAGGTACAGTTTATTGAACTTTCAAATCATAAGTGATTACTGATAAAATATTTTCTTTTTTATTTTAAGATATGGTGCATGGCATGATGCACTCTCTATTCTCTTTTTAACCTTTTAAAAAAATTCAATCTTCCTTATGCTATTTTAAATTTCAAATAAAATATAGTATCTTTGTGCAGGAAACAAGAGTATAAGATACTTTTTCACCTTTGTGTTGCTTTGTGTTTCATACATAAAGTTTCCATACCTAACCCTACTTTTTAATACTAGTTTGATATTAATTGTGAGAAATCTGCATTGATGCTATTGGGTCTTAGTAATAATTCTGTTAAATTGATGACGCAGCTTCTGGACCGCGTCATTGGTCCCAGCTGATTAGATTGTATCCTAAACGTATCTTTGATACCAGCATCCAGCCCTTTCCTGTTCTTCCTTCGTACGCTACCAGTCACTCCCTCGTCACTGATTCTTGGGCTGAGTGGGATCCTCCCCCCTTTTTTGGGTGATCGTTGTTTCCATACTCTTTTCACACTTTTGTGCATTGTTCTTCTCACTAGGGGTATTGGGGTGCAGGCCATCCAAGCCTCCCTTGATCCCACCATGTGTTCCATTCGGGCTCCAATTGGTTCCCCCCGCCCCTCTGGGTTGTAATCCGGGCGTCTCTCTCCACTCTATGGTTTCTGCTCTCTTATCCCTTCTTACGTGAGTAGCCCCTGCCTGCATGCCATTCCACCCAATATCTTTCCTTTGCCCCCTTTTTCAACATTCCCTATTCCTGTCATATCGATGGCATCCTGCCATTCAATTTGCTGTTGATGGTCACAGTTCCTGCTTAGCATAGAGCCCCTGTGTTCGTTTTCCATGAAAGAACCCCCCTGCTGCAAACGCGAGTGTTCTTTGTCCATAATTTTGCGCTTACGCGCTAAGTAAGTTAATGGGATACCTCCCTCTCCTTTTTGTTGTGACTGGGTTGTCATCATATGCTCATTAGATCTGCGTACGGGTAGTTCGTCCTTGTTGTTATTTCCAACACCAACCCCCACGGATTCGTCATATGGCTTCCTAAAGCCCGTACTAACGCCCTGGGCATCGCTCATCCATTCTGGGGGTGGTGTTCTTCCGAGGTGTAGCAGGGAGCTCCGCAGGTCCCCCACCACACCTTCCCTCTTCTTTTCACCCCTTGTAAGTCTCCTGATCTTCCATGGGCCCTTGCTCATCTTTGGTGTTGGAGGATTCGTCAGCTGCTGATCGGGATTCATCAGCTGCTGGGCAGGCATCAGGAAAGTATCCGTAGGTCGCGGAGAGTTGGTTAGATCTCCATTTGTTTGATCACGTGGAGGGTTAGGTGTGGCTCCATTGCTTTGGTCGCATAGCCATTGGCTAAATTCTCTTCGATGAAAGGGGTGGCGGTTTGTGCTCCATATTCTCAATGCTTGTTGTGCTGGACAAAGGTCTATGCGGTGGTTAATCGAATCCTTATCCGAGAGCCAGGCTTCCTTCAACAGTCGGCCCCCTTTCGTGGCATCACTGGACAAAACATGTACGTTATCGAAGTCAAACTGATGATTTATTTATTTATTTAATTTTATTTATATGCCGCCCAATCCCAAAGGACTCAAGGCGGCATACAAAATTAAAACAATCATCTAACAATAAAACAATAAAATAATACAATCATACAGCGTGTCCAATCATATCCCGCCCACCCCCCCGGGGACATCAGCCCCAGGCCTGCCGGAACAGGAGAGTTTTAACGGCTTTCTTAAAGGCCGGCAGGGTGGGAGTAGTTTGAACCTCGGGGGGAAGTTGATTCCACCAGGTCGGAGCCACCACAGAAAAGGCCCTTCCCCGAGGGCCCGTCAGCCGACATTGTCTGGCCGATGGGACCTGAAGGAGGCCCAATCTATGGGACCTCACCGGTCTCTGGGAACTGTGCGGCAGTATGCGGTCCTGTAAGTAACCTGGCCCTATGCCATGAAGGGCTTTAAAGGTGATAACCAACACCTTGAATTGCGTCCGGAGACCCACAGGAAGCCAGTGCAGCTCGCGGAGGATAGGTCACACGTGGGCGTACCTTGGCGCGCCCACAATCGCTCTCGCGGCTGCATTCTGAACCAACTGCAGCCTCCGAACGCTCTTCAAGGGTAGCCCCATGTAGAGCGCGTTACAGTAATCCAATCTTGAGGTGACAAGGGCATGAGTGACCATGAGTAAAGCCTCCCGGTCCAAATAAGGGCGCAACTGGTGCACCAGGCGAATCCATGATCGTACTCAGCCATGTGCGTCCAGATTTGCGAGTATTGTTCGCCCCTTTTGGAAGAGATATTGGGTGGAATGGCAGGGGCTATTCATATAAGAAGGGATAAGAGAGCAGAAGCCATAGAGTGGAGAGAGACACCCGGATTACAACCCAGAGGGGCGGGGGGAACCAGTTGGAGCCTGAATGGAACACATGGTGGGATCAAGGGAGGCTTGGATGGCCTGCACCCCAATACCTCTAGTGACAAGAACAATGCACAAGAGTGTGAAAAGAGTATGGAAACAACAATCACCCGAAAAAAGGGGGGAGGATCCCACTCAGCCCAAGAATCAGTGACGAGGGAGTGAATGGTAGCGTACGAAGGAAGAACAGGAAAGGGCTGGATGCTGGTGTCAAAGATACATTTAGGATACAATCTGATCAGCTGGGACCGATGACACGGTCCAGAAGCCGGGCGCAAATGCTTGGTAATCTTATATAAGTTTCTCCCACTAACTAGCTTTAACCCTGACGATGTCGGAAGTTACCGATGAAAGCTTGGTTTTTATTAAAAATTTTCCTGCTTGATTTTCCTGCTTGGATTTTCCTGGTGATTGTAATTAATTTATTTTGTTGTATGTATGTATGTATGTATGTATGTATGTATGTATGTATGTATCTATCTATCTATCTATCTATCTATCTATCTATCTATCTATCTATCTATCTATGTATATATATGAATCCTGGGCATACACATGTCAATAAAAATATAGAAAAACGAACACCAGGATAAAAATAAACAGGACCATTTAATATAAACAAGCCTGTAAGTAAAAGAGTTAATATAAACAAGCCTGTAAGTAAATGAGTTACTGAGCTTTCGTCAGCCAAACTACTGACGTCATCAGAGTTAGAATGCTAGGTGATTAGGGAGCTTGCCTATATAGCTGCCTGTCTCTGTGCCTGGCTTCTCAAGCGCGTCATCGGCCCATTAGTTATGTTAATCTAGAACATGCTAAATTGATTCGCATCCGGCAGCTTGTTGGTGGACCTGATGATTGTATTCCGATCCTCCATCGTTTTTCCAGTGCGCATGCAAACGCCTGGGGGGCAGCTGTCAAGCCGTCTCTGCTCCTTATCTCTCCTCCCTCTCATTTTGGAGCGATCTCTCAATCTGCATTTCAAACGCCCTGTGGGGTTGTCATCCTCTCCTAAGGCCGCCGTTGTTTCGTCCATAGCTCCCTCTTCCCAATCCTGCAAAGAGCCACTATTTGGATGTTTCTCCTTCATATTCCCCCCCCCCTTTTTGTCTCTCCTTCCGAGCCGCTTCCGCATGTCCATTTCCAACACCCGATCTTGACACCTCATTAGTTTGTCATCTCCTCCCATAGCAGCTCTTGCCGACTCACCTGCCACCCTGTCACTCCAGTCCTGCCAGTTGCTATCTCGTTGTGGTGTCACCCGCCCTCTCTTTTGCTGGTTCACTGTCCTCCCTAGGGATTGCAGCTTCCCTGTTTGTAAAGCCATGGTCTTGCTTTTGCACCGTGTGGGGTGGCCATTTACTTCATGGATTACAACGTTGTCTCTCCCACCTTCTGAGAATCTGGTACGCTGGCAGGATGTCTATATGCCGGTTGATGGAATTCTCATCCAAAAGCCAGGCTTCTTTAAGAAGGCGGACACCCTTAGTGGTTTCACGAGATATGGTCTGTGCTTTTCCAGATCGAATGTGTGGTTCAGATCGGCCATGTGAGCCCACACTTGTGAGCGCTGCTCCTGCCTTTTGATTGCCAGTTCATGTTCGTGGACCCTAGTCCTGAGCCTTTTAGCTGTTTCCTCCGTAATTGCAGGGGCAATTCCTGCAATTAATTCTATAGACTATGGAAGACTGTTCACTGTTGGGGAGCGGCTCTTTGGGATGCATGATCTTGGTTCTTAGGGTCTGGTCTGGTCTATCGGCAATGCTCACATTGTGGGGGGCCAGCAGCTGTGCCATAGCTTTGGAAACACCACAGATATAAGGTAAAGTTATCCGTGTGGCCGGTGTCGTCGTTGCTCCGGAAAGTTGGGCCCTGTGGGGTTGACATGGTCTGCTGTAACATCTCACAAATTCTGTGGGGTAGCCATTAAGCCTAAAAGTGCGATATAGATGATTTCTCTCTTCAATTTTGGCTCTCCCCGTGCTGCAATGGGAGTTGATTCATTTGAATATAGGCAAGCTCTCTAATCACCTAGCATTCTAACTCTGATGACATCAGTAGTTTGGCTGACGAAAGCTCAATAACTCTTTTACTTACAGGCTTGTTTATATTAAACGGTCCTGTTTATTTTTATCCTGGGGTTCTTTCTATATTTTTATTGATATATATATATATATATATATATATATATATATATATATATATATATATATATATATATATATATATAAAGTAAAAAAGGATATATGCAGCGTTATCTTAATTTTAGATGTCAAAAGGATCTCTCTCCCCCCCTCTCTCTTTCTCTCCCTCTCTCTCTCCCCCCTCTCTCCGATCTTCTGCTCACCTGACAAGCTGGCTTCAAGCTGTTCTCCAATAAGCTCAGGGGTAGGCAACCTCGGCTCTTTTATGACTCATGGACTTCAACTTCCAGAATTCCTGAGTCAGCATAGCTGGGCTAGCTAGCTCTCTCCTGCCCTTCCTGCTTCCTACTTCCTGCAGAGACGCAGCAACAGGAAGAGCCCCGCCCAAACAGCTTTTCGCTTGCTGGAGAACACCGTGAGTTCACTCTCTTTTATACACACACACACACAGAGAGAGAGAGAGAGAGAGAGACAGACAGACAGACAGACAGACAGACACAGAGAGACAGAGAGAGAAGCAGGGAAGCGCAAGTGCCTCTCTCTGTCTCTCTCTGCAAATGACAGAGGAGGCTGGGAGCCACAGGGGAAGGCTCAAAGAGCCGCATGCAGCTCCAGAGCCGCAGGTTGCCAACCTGTGCTTTAGCTGTTTGTCTATAATAAATTGTTTTAATTATATTTATGAAGTTTTCTCCAAAATCCATTTTCTCTAATTGTTGAATCATGAATTGCCAATTTATGCTGTTAAAAGCTTTCTGTGCAACTAGAAATATTAGCGCCATCTCCTTCCCTGGATGGATTTCATAATATTCCAAAATGTCTAAAATGATTCTTAAGTTATTTTTTATTTGTCTTTTGGGTATAAATTCAGTCAAAAATTTATTTAGTCTTTCTGCTAATATTGAGGCAAAAGTTTTATAGTCCACATTTAATAGAGATATTGGTCTGTAATTCTTTATTTGCATCAGGTCTGAGTCTTCTTTAAAATGGTATTAAAGTATGTTAGCTTCTGTCTATGTATTTGGTATTTTAGCCTCTAAAAGTACTTCATTACACAGTTCTTTCATTATTGGACTTAGTGTGTCTTATAGACATTTATAAAGCTCTGCAGGTAAGCCATCTGGACCTGGAGTCTTATCATTTTTTTGCCTTTTTATAGCCTCTGTCACCTCCATCACTGATATTTTTTCATTTAAAATATTTTGTATATTTTCTGGGATTTTTGGTAGATCTGTTTTTTTATATATTGCTTTCAGACAAATGGCTGTCCAGTCTCTTCATAAAAACTTCCAGTGTTGGAGCATTCACTGCTTCTGGAGGCAGGTTGTTCCACTGGTTAATTGTTCTAACTGTCAGGAAGTTTCTCATTAGTTCTAGATTTATTTCTTTTTGTTACATTCTCAGGTTTTGAGGCTGGTGAAATCCCTATGCTCTGCTGATTTAGTTATTATGTATTCCTATAGGCATTATTCCTAACCAAAATGTTATTATAATGATGAAGTGTGTGTCCTGACAGTGTGATGCAAGCTCCGCTTTTTCATACTTGGGCCATGATGTCACATGCAAGTATAGAAGGGGCCCAGACATAAGCAAGTTGTTTCTTTATTAGATGATGTGTTTAATTAGATCTGATAAGATCTGAGCTCACTTAAAATAAATCAGTGGTGTCTGATCTTGCCTCTAACAGCTGTTCTTCTTTCGGCCCAAACAGGGATGTCTCTTTGAAAGTAGCAATATAGGATAGTTATAGCAATGATAAAAACAGCAAACCACCAGAGGTTTTGGGGCCATGTTATAACATTTAAACTCTAAAGAATGGCTTATTAAAAAATGTGAAGTAGATGCAGGCAAAAGTGGGTGGGATAACCTTTTTTTATTTACATGAGATGGAAGGCCCTACTCCACGCTCCAGTATCTGAGTGACACTGTGAAAAAAAACATGTTAAAACCTCTTAGAGCTATTTGTATTTGGATCTGGAAACCAAAATATAGGAACTGAGCATTTAAAAATTGTATCTTTTTTTAAAAAAAAAATGCTGTCTGGATTGCATTAATAGTAGATTTCAAATAAGCAGCTTGTACCAAGGTTTAATGATTAGTTAGGTTTAATGATTTTTTTTTATCTTACTCAGATGCTCCTGAATTATTCAGAAGCATTTTTACATCTATATATTTTGGAGAAGTCCAATAGGAATGTAACAACTCCAGCAAGATAAGAACTAAAACATATTTGCCTGTCTAGACAAAAGTAACCCCCAATCAAAACACAGTGCATCTGAGAATTCCTTTGCTTCCTGTCCAGAATTTTCAAAAGTTTTATACCACTACAAGTTAGTGTTCTTCTGATCAGAACATACAAAACTGATATCATTAATTGGGGACTCTGGAGATAGACATGAACTACTTTCAACTGATTGGAACTGTTGTCATCATGTTCAAAACTCTTCTGAAAAATTAATTACTTGGAGATCTAATGAAGAACTTTGGCCCTGTAAATCTTTTGCAAACATGAAAAAATATAATCTTATTTAAAAAAGACTATGGAAACATTAAGCAAATGTCAAGCTGCTGTATTAATGTAAGACAATGAGTTAGACAAATTAATATAAGTGAAGAAGAAAGGTGTATAAAATGAAACATATTGCATAACATTATCAATACTATTTGAGAAGTTTACAACATTTATAAGTATCATAAAATAGTTATAATAATTGTATTAAAACAATGGAAGAATTTCAGAAGGCTATCACAAGGGGTCACTGTTGACTCGATGAATAGCTAAGTAAGGCTGAAAATGCATAGCTCCACCCTCCTGGTATACCACTCACGGAATCATTAAAGAGGCACTAGCTATCAATTGCAAAACCACTAGAAAAGATTCTAGCACCATCAGTTCACAGGTGGGACTGGGGCTCTGCTCCTGAATCCTATAAGAAAGGGATTTGTTCGTTTTTTAAAAAAGAAAAACAGGTCTCCAGTTTTGCCATGCTTGTGTGGAAAGTGGATTCTGGGAAGGCATCGCTGCTGCAGCTAGCTCTCCTCCACACTCTTTGGGGAATGGGGAACCGCCAGCTCTATTACTCAATACAGGAGGAATCCCAGCAGGGCACTTTTGTGGGCCACATTGCCCAGGATCTGGGTCTAGAGGTGGATGAACTCGTGTCTCGGATGTTTCAGTTGGTCTCCAAGGAACAAAGGGAATATTTCCAGGTAAATGTGCAGAATGGAATTTTGTTTGTGAATTCTCAGATTGACAGGGAGAAGCTTTGTGACAAGAGGGCTATGTGCATTGTTCATCTGGATGCCCTTGTGGAGAAACCATTAAGGATTTTTCACATAGAGGTGGAGATTATAGACATAAATGACAATGCCCCAATCTTCCCTGTTACAGAGAGGCAATTTACTATTGCAGAGAGTCTAGTCTTTGTAATTCACGTTTTCCCCTAGAGGGAACCTCCGATGCTGATATTGCTGCAAACTCTCTGCTTAGCTACAGACTTAATCCCAACCTACTCTTCAGTCTAATAATTGAAACTTATGAACATAGTGTCTCTTTATTTCTTGTTTTAAATAAACCTCTTGATAGAGAAGAATGTGCTGTTCATCGCTTATTTCCTTTAGCCACCGATGGAGGTGACCCACAACTCACTAGTACAATGCAGTTAGAAATCAAAGTGCTAGATGCAAATGATAACCCTCCTGTATTTAACCAGTCAGTTTATAATGTCCAGATTTTAGAAAACTCAGAAAATGAGGTAATATTTAAGGTAAATGCAACAGATTTAGATGAGGGGACAAATAGAGAAATTACATACATTTCAAGTAATTTTTCTCCTACCAATGGAAAAGAAAAATTCATCCTTGATCATCAAACTGGTGAGATATATGTGAAAGGACATTTGGACTTTGAGGAAAGGAATTTCTATGAAATACATGTTGAGGCAAAAGATAACAGAAATCCTCCATTATCAGGATACTGCAAGGTTTTGATCGAGATTTTGGATCTCAGTGATAATCCTCCAGAAATCACAGTGGTGTCTTTGTTGATAACTATTCCAGAGGATTCGCCATTGGGGATGGTGATAGCTCTGATTACTGTTTTGGACAGGGATACTGGTGCCAATGGACAAGTGAGCACTTTTTTGTGGCCATTTGGGATCCCTTACAGGCTAGTGTCAACTGGCAAAAATTACTATTCATTGGTGCTAAATGAGCACCTAGATTGGAAACAAGTTGCTGAGTACAGTCTACAAATCACTGCACAAGATCAAGGAACTCCATCACTGTCCGCCACCTGAATCCTAAGACTTTCAATCAGTGATGTAAATTATAATGCTCCAGCTTTCCCACAGCCCTCCTACACCGTTTTTGTGAAGGAGAACAATCCCCCTGGTGCTCACATCTTTACAGTATCTGCCTTGGACCCAGACACAGCTGTGCCATTGCCAGAAGACTCCCCTCCAGGGACTGTGGTAGCCATCCTCAGTGCTTCTGACAGGGATTCTGGCACCAATGGACATATCAACTGTTTCCTCTTTCCCCCTGGAGTACCCTTCAAACTCGAGTCCACATTCAAGAACTACTACTCCCTGTTTGTTGGTGCAGTCCTAGATCGAGAGCAGGTGGCTGAGTACAGGATGGTTGTGACAGTGAAAGATCAAGGCGTTCCACCCCTGTCTTCTAGCATCAGCCTCTTAGTGCCTATCAGTGACATAAATGATAATGTTCCAACTTTCCCACAGCCCTCCTACACAGTCTTTATGAAGGAGAACAATCCCCCTGGTACTCACATCTTCACAGTATCTGCCTTGGACCCAGACATAGCTGAGAATGCCCTGATCGCTTATTGGATAGGCGAGAAGCTGTGGCCATTGTCAAGCTACATCTCTGTACATTCGGAGAGTGGAAAGCTCTATGCTCTGCAATCCTTGGACTATGAGGAATCAAAACTGCTGGAGTTCCAAGTGAGCGCCAAGGATGCTGGAATGCCCTCCTTGTGGTGCAATGCTGGATGAAAATGACAATGCACCTGCTATGTCAGGATCATCGGAAGAGAAACTGATTCTTCTAGTGGTCCCAGTGATGCCTGGGCATATTGTAGGCACGTTCCATGCCTTGGGTGCAGATTCTAGCGACAATGCCTGGCTACAATATGAACTGATTTAAGAAAACAATGGCCCATGGACAGTGGGGCAATATAGTGGTGAGGTGAGTGCCAAATATTCTTTGGATGAAGTAGAAGGAAGCAAAATCCAGAGATTGCTAGTTCTTGTGAAGGATCATGGGAAACCTCAACTTTCAACTACAGTCACCTTCAGGCCACCAAAACAGATATTCCCCTTCATAGATCAGGAGAGACCTTCATGTTCCTGATGGACTTGAACAATGTCTAGCTGATCAATGCTATCTGCTCTGTTTCCAGCCTCTTTTTGCTGGCCTCTCTCTCTCTCTCTTTTTAAAAGAAAATTTTATTGATTTTCTAGCTTTACATTTAAATATTTGAAAAGCAGCATGGTGGCTAAGTTGATCAATAATTCAATAACATACAAATATCTTTAGTACAGATCTCAAACTATTACATTAAATATTTCCTCTATTTTCCCCTTGGTATTTACTGTCTCATATTTAAACTAATACAATTCTTATTATATCGATTAAATAAAAATAACTTTCTTACATTTATCAATAATTTTTAGTTTATACATATCCTAGTTATTTTAACATTCAATCTTTTTAGACAATGTCCTAGTTAATTTTTCCCAATTTTTAGTTTCCCATTAATATTTAAATTTAATATTTAATATTTATAATTTCCAAGTTTTAAATAACCCCAATTCCCTTTGTTACAATTCATCACAGGATTTAATGTTCAGATACACGTTTTATCTAAATGAATTCTCACCATCTTACATCAACTAATTAATAATACAATATAACATTCTTATTTTCTGGTAATTTCCATAACTTGTTATTGCTTAAAAGAGATCTCACCCAGTCTCATCCACGCTGCTTCATAGTTGCCTGATGGTAAATGTGACTTCGGCTGTCTGCAGCCTAGTGACGAGCCATATTTCTATGGACGGTCTTTCATCTGCCGGTTTGGAAGGTTGCCCCAGATCAAGCGGAAGGGCTACCGCCCTCCTGCGATTCAACAGGGATCCCTTCCTTGCTGGTCACCCCTACAGGGTGACTTTAGACCCTTTCCAGGGTCCCCCACCAAAGCGAAACTGGACATGGAAGACAGGGCTCACCTGCCAGATGTCCATGGTGGCCACATGGGCAAACTGGAAGTCCTTGCTGGCCATTCTTATCTATGATGCCAGTGCAAGGCAAAGGAATCCATAGTTTATGGCCCTGGCATGGCCACCCTGGTCTGTGCCAGTGAAGTGGGCAACTGGTCCTATTCCATTCGCCAAAGCCACATCCTGGCAGGGGTGAGCACAGAGGCTGGTGCCAAGAGTGACCTTATGATTTTCAGCCCCAACATTCCTGTTCTTATGGATGGTGGGGAAGTAGGAATTTTGAAGGAGCCAATTCCAAATGCACAAGTGAGTTATGTGTGTTGATATCATAATCCCTGAATGTAATAGCATGTGAGAATGACTTGGGAAATGGGGGAGAAGAGATGTTGCCTAGGTAATGGTCAGATAAGAAACAACATAGCCTGTAGCTACAGAGTGGGCAGAGCAAGAGGCTCCAAAGAGAATCTCTCTAAATTCTCTTGCTGTAAAAGTGATAGTGGAAGAATTTGTAATTTCAGACTTGCAAGATTCTGTTAATGTAGCTTTACAATAAAATAGAATTTCCTATTTGGTCTACCTCCTAAGGCTGACATTGAGACTGTTACTCTATTTTGACATGTGTTACAGTAAACCTATCCTTTAATATTTTGAAAGAATTTTGGAATGACCTTTAGCAGATTTACAAACAGACTATTGCAAAGTGATCATATTTGTGTTTTACCTTTTTGCTGGTAAATAAAGAATTTTATTAAAGTGATGCCATCAGATATTTCTTTGGAGGTGATGCGGATGCAACTTAACCAGTCATGTAGGTTTTTCCTTTCCTAAAAAAATTATAAAAACCGTTAGAGTATCCCCTGATATAGATATCATCATAGGGACTTAAAAGCTGATAAACAAATATAGACAATACTCTTGTATCAACGATGGATGGTGAGAAATATATGGAAATTAGATGCTTGTATGTTGTCATCAAAGAATGAGTAGAAGGATGACGTGTATAGAGGAACTGACGTGGGGAAAAATGATGCGGTATTTCTATAACTCTTCTTCGTATGTTTTAGCCTCCAGCCACCTAATCGTTTTTGTTGCTCTTCTTTCAGAGTCTCAACATCTTTTTAATGTTGTGTTGACCAGAACTGGATGTGGCAGCATTCCAAGTGTAATTTTATTAGGGCTTTATAAAACGGTAGTAGAACTTTATGTGATTTTGATTCTATACATCTGTTAATGCAGCCCAGGATTGCATTGGCTTTTTTGGCTGCTGCCGCACAATCATATTTATTGTCCACTAAGACTCTAAGATCCCTCTCGCAGTTACTATGAAGGTATAGACTAGGTGAAACTTGGTTAATGCTAGTACTATAACTATACACTTGTTTTTTCTTCCTAAGTGTAGAACCTTACTTTTACCTACGTTGAATTTTATTTTATTAAACAGGGCCCACTGTTCAAGTCTGTCAAGATCTTTTTGGATTTTGAGCTTTTCTTCTGGGATGTTGGCTATTTCTACTACTTAGTGTCATTTGCAAATTTGATGCATTCTCCTTCTATTTCCTCGTCCAGATCATTTATGAAGATATTGAAGAGTACTGGGCCAAAAACAGAACCTTGGTATACCCCACTTCCCTCCATGTGGATGTAGTTCCATTGAGGACTACACATTTATGATTTGTCATCCAATTACAAACCCATCTGGGGTGGTGCTGTCTATCTCACATTTTTACTAGCTTGCCAAGAAGTACGTTGTGGTCTACTTTATCGAATGCTTACTGAAATCTAAATAAACTATGTTCACAGCATTTCACTGATCTACTAATTTGGCCACTTTGTCGAAGAATGATTTGTTTGGCATGATCTGTTTTTCATGAATCCATGTTGGCTAGTGATTATAATTTTGTTTGCTTCTAGGTGTTCACAGATTTGTTGCTTGGTTATCTTTTCCAAGGTCTTCCTAGGGATTGATGTTAGACTGATTGGTCTGTAATTTCCTGGATCTGTTTCCCCAACATTCCTGTAATTTCAATCTCTTCTATCACTTCTTCTCCATTAGTAAGCATAAGGTTCAGTATAGCTGTCCCTCTGTGTCATGGGTCCCCAAGCCCCGGTCCATGGACTGGTACTGGGCTGCAGTATGTCAGCAACTGGGCCACAAAAGCAAAGCCCCATCCACGACATGCAGGCAGCACACAAAACCACGCCCGCTCCGTTCCGCGGAAAAACCTCTCACCATGTAACTGGTCCCTAGTGCCCAAAAGGTTGGGGACCTCTGCTCTATGTCATGGTTGATTCACTACACAGCCCCGCTTGCAACCAGACAACTGTAATGGGAGGGGGGAGGGAGGCAATGGAATGTAAGGGAGGTTTGGGAGGGAAATTTGGTATGCAAGTGTGCTGACTGGAAGCCTGAGAAAGATCCAATACCTCAAGGTCACCAGCTGAGGAAGTCCGAGACAGACAGACCATTCCCAAAACAATGAGAATGCAAATGATTGGTGGACGATGGACAATGGGAAGTCCTGGGGAAAAAAGGGAACGTTTTCTTATGCTGTTTTTGCATGAAATCATTAGAACTGGCTTTTCTACTTCTGTACCCATGTGGAATCTTCAGTAAAGTTACATTCCTGGGAGGAAAAATGTCCTAGGAGTTTCTTTTGCTGTCTAACCCAATTCTCATAGAAACAGCCTATCTGGATCCCAGCCCAAGATGTTGGCTATGAGCAAAAACTTGGAAGGGAAGAAGAAGCTGGGAGAGACCCTGCTTGGGAAGAGCCAGCACCACCTCAGACCAGAGCAAGAGTGCAACCAGTCAGTGTGCTTCCGAAACTGAAGTCTGAACAACTGGCCGCAGCCACAAAGGAGCGAGCGAAGGATGCCTTGTACTAGGGACTAAACACCCACTGGGCAGCAAATGTGGGCAAGGCAATGGAGGTCAAAGACCTTCTTGCTTCTGGTGTCAATGTGGTCCAAGGCAGCAAGTGGAAAGCAAAGTGGCTAGCCAAATGAGATGACCCTGCTGAGTGGAAGCTCCCAGTCACCGGCCGTAGCCCATCCATGCAGCAGTTGAGAGAGAGGTTTGGAGGCAAGGAGATTTATGCTTCAACAGCGCCGGAAGTCACAACCGCCACCAGCGGGGGGGGGGGAGTCATGAAAACCCCAGCAGCCCTGGCTACTCCTCCTATTCTTCAACTGGAGGCCCTGGTGACAGCAGCTGCGGATGGGACTCCGATCCAGGCAATGGCAGCAGTGGGCTTTGCCACTCCTTCTCCATTGCAGCCAGCAGTGCTGGTGGTCCTGGCCATGGTCAGAGCCCCAGCACAAGCAGCTGTGGCTGGAATCCCTGCACCAGCACTAGTGGCGGCAGCTGACATTCCACCCCAAAGGTTCATCTTGGTGTGGGAGGAGCATCAGCCCCCCTCCAGTAGCCTATTTTGATGGGAACCCAAACTGCTTAGCCCATTTCCTGACTCAAGCCTGGCACCATATGGAACATCATGGAATGATGTACCCAGACAATATGCCCGAGGTTCATGTCATTGCAGTCAACCTGGAAGAGAGCACTTCAGAGTAGTTGGTGTCGCTACACAATGAAAATGCCCCAGAGCTGGACGATCTCCATGCCTTCATGCAAGCTCTGCAAGAGTGATTTGAAGATTCCATGGTGGCCCACCTGCATCTGTGCCCTAAAATAAAAGAAATGACCAGTATCAGAGTACATTCAAGATTTCTGCCACCTGGCCAGCCACTTGGGAGAATGGCCTGAATGCTTGCTGGTCTACCATTTCTGAGAGGGACTGAATAAGAAACTACCAGAATTGCTTACCCTGGGGGGGTGCAGAGCAACCTGTGAGGGTACCACGCAGCCACTGAAGTAGAGATCGACTTGATGGAGTTCCATAAGCACATTGGGCAAGAGTGTCAGTCCTGCCACCCCGCAGAGAAGCAATCAGAGAGGGAAGAAGGGGGGTGCATTTCCAGGCAAAGGAGAGAGATCCCACCAAAACTTTGGTTGCTGCTTTCACTGTGGGAAAGAGGGACACCGAGCTGCCAAGTGTCTCACACTGTGACCAATGATTGCTCCCCCACTTCTAAGCCAACCAAAGAAGAAGACTCCACCAAAGTTAAGGGATAAAACTCTTGTTTTATTTTTTTTCTTGTAGAGTTCTTCCCTTAATCCAGGGAAGGGGAACCCCAACCCTGCCAAGATGGGGCCAGTCTTCTACAAGAGCAAGCAATAGTGAAGGAGAAGATGGTAAATGGCCTCATCACCCCCATGACTACTAGGGTGGAGATTTCAGTATCTGGTGTAAAGAGTGTTGGACTAGGGGTGCATTAGATGCCTGGTCATCCCCCAAGTGGTAGAGAGGCTAGAGATAAGTCCAAGGAAGTTAAAGAAACCTATAGCATTTCCCCAACTAGATGGTTCAATAATGGGCAGGGTGCCAGAGACCTGCCTAACCAAGTCTGTTAAGCTGAAAGCCAGGGCCCACACAGAGATTATCCGATTTATTGTGGTCCCTGGGATGACAGAGTCCATGGTCTTAGGCCTGGCGTGGTGAAAAAAATGGAGCCCATCTGTTGATTGGGATAGAGACAAGTGGCAGATACAAGGGAAAATATCCAACCAATGAGAAGAATGTAAAAGGGAAGTTGCAGCTGTGCATCTACATGTCCTGCAAGCTTTTCGAGACTGAGAGACAATGGGCTATCTGGGAAAAGGAAACCTATGCGGTCCCCTGGGCTCTCATAATCTGAAGGCAATTCTTGGAAGGCAGTAAGATTCCTTTCTTGTGGATGGATCACAAGAACTTAGAAGCACTGAAAGCTCCCCAAAACGGTCTCCTGAACAAATCCAATGGGCCCAATACTTCAATTGCTTCAACTTCACTCTCCGCTATCTACCAGGAGGACAAATTTTTGGGGGCAGACTCCCTCTCACGAATGCGTCTGATCAACATTGTTTGAGAAGAAATTGTCAATTCCATCATTCCCTCCAAGCAAGTAGCAGCACCGGCCCTCACAAGAAAGCAGGAAGCATCTCCATCACAGCTGACCAAAGACTTAACGTGATCCTTAAAAGAAGCCTTGGCCAGAGATAAGTGTTTCCAACAATACAAAGGTGAGTTGTCCTTAAGGGACAGATAGGCATGGTTGGGGAGCAAACTATACATCCCATGAAGCCAGAGGATCTTAGTATTGCAGCAGAGCCAGGATGCGAAGGGGACGGGGCATTTTGGATTTGTGAAAATTCTTCACCTTGTAAAGAGGCAGTTTTGATGGCTGTGGATGAAGAAAGACATAGTCAACTGCCCTGTGTGTGTTTTGGTGAAGAGGCTGCCTGGCAAGCCTTCAACACCGTTGCACACTGTGGCCGGCCCCATGGCTCCCTGGAGGGAGATATCTATAGACTTTATTGTGGAGCTGCTGGAGAGTGCTGGAAATATTGTGATATGGGTCATTATGGACTTATTCTCTAAGCAAGCCCACTTTATGGCATGCCCTAGGATCCCTTCTGCTCAGTCCCTGGCTAAACTCTTTGTATAGCACCATGGTAACATGGTGTTCCAAAATACATAATTTCAGATCAGGGACTGCAATTCATGTCAAAATTTTGGTGTGAGTTCATGAGCTTGTTAGGGTCCTCCTCCTATGGTCTTAGCTCCGCCCATCACCCTCAAATGAAAAGAGCTTGTGAACATATGGTCCTGGACCAGTATATTGGATGCTATGTAAACTACCAGCAAGACAATTGGACTGAACTTCTACCCTTCACTGAGGTGACATACAATAATTCTGTACACAGGAGCACCGAGTTTATCCCCTTTCAAGTGACCACTGATTCAGAATTTGTGCCTATGCCAGAGCTCCCTCAAGAGATACCTTCGTTGACTTCTTTGGCTAAGTGGATAAGTACTTTGAAAGCCATCTGACCCATAGTATGCAAAGTTTTCATAATTGTATAAAGTTGCATCAAATCAAAAATATACAAATAATTATTGAAGTATTTACAATAGTGGCAAGGCAAGCTTGTCTTTAATAGTTACATTGTGCTTATTGCTCATTGCATCCCAGAATGCATGGATGGTATAATTCTTGGTAAGATAGAAAAATGTGGGATAGACAATATCATCACCAGATAGATTCACAACTTGCTGACCAACCACACTCAACATGTAATCCCCAATGAAACTATGTCTACATGGAGGGAAGCATGCATTGAGTACCTGTCTTGGGCCCAATACTCTTCAAATCTTAATAAATGATTTAGATTAGGGGATAGAAGGGGAATTAATCAAATTTGCAGAAAACACCAAGCTGAGAGAATTGCCAACACTTTAGAAGCTAGACTCAAATTCAGAAGGATTTTAACAAACCTAAGCATGGGCCTTATCCAACAAGATGCAGTTCAGTGGAGAGAAAAGTAAGGTCCTGCACATAGGCAGGAAAAGTCAAATGCACAGGTAGGGAATGGATGGTATCTGTCTCAACAATAGTAACTGAGAGAGATCTATTTTAGGTGTCCTGTTGGAGCACCATTTAACTATGAGCAAGCAATATTTGCAGCTGTCAAAAAAGCCAATTCAGTCTTAAGATGCATCAGCAGAGGGATAGCATCAATATCTCAAGAAGTGATAGTACTGCTGGATTAGTGAGGCCACACTTGGAATACTGCATCTGGTTGCATGATACAAAAAAGAATGTGAGACCCTAGAAAAAGGGCAGAAAAGAACAACAAAGATACTAAAGGATCTGGATGCTAAACCATGTGATGAATTATTAATGGAACCAGGCATGGCTAGCTGTCAAAGAGAAGGACTAGGGATGACATAACAGCTATCTTCCAATACTTCAGGGGCTGTCACAGAAAAGAGGGGGTCAATTTATTCTCCAATGCACCTGAGGGCAGGACAAGAAGCAATAGATGGAATCTTATCAAGGAGAGATTCGACTTTGAATTAAGAAGAAATTTCCTGACAGTGAAAACTATCAGTGAAACAGCTTGCTTTTGGAAGTTGTGGGTGCTCCATCCCTGGATATTTTTGCCTGGAATGGTATAGGATCTCCTGCTTGAGCAGGGGGATGGACTAGAAGACCTTCAAGTCCATTTCAATCCCATTATTCTATGTTCTAGTGTGTGTACATGTGTGTCCATGTATGCATGCTCTGAGCTTAGATCAAACTGTTGCACTATTACCTATAGAGGTAATAGGAAAGATCCCAGAGGAAGATTGAAGAAAGTGTGAGTTGTTGAAATGAGGTTGTGATAAAGGGAAAATTGCAGTCTGCTTGTGAGTAAGCAACAGCAATAGGGAATGAGTGATTGCTGACTTAGTGCCTGCATAAAGACTGCCCTGATGAATGATAAAGTGCCTGCATAAAGACTGCCCTGATGAATGATAAAGTTATGGGGTGGAGGGTTAGAAAAGAAAGATAAGAGAGGAGTCAATAGCTGGCAAAAAGAAGACTATAGACTGAAACCTGCTATTGAACAATCCTTATTAAATTGTACAAGCAAACTGCTCCATCCCTTTCTATGCCGTCTGGCCTTGCATCGACTTACTGTCTGGGCAGAGAATAAAGCTAGTTCCCCAAGCTGGAAAGTCAGGCAGGAGTACAGGTAATTAGAGGCTACATAATCAAGATGCTGCCTTCACACCCACAGGTGAAGCTGGAGAGCTTACTGAGATGGTTTATGGAGAGCAGAAATAGTCTCAAACTGCCGCTGCCAATTGTATTTCTATTCATGGTTAGGCATTTTATTTTGAATATTACTTTGAGTTCTTAGTTTGGACTGCTAAGGTTCCAAAGTGTCTGTTTTCGTTTCTGTCTGTTTTTGTTTTATTTCCATCCAGGTTCAGAATGGATGTTTTCAAACCAGCTTCAGTTCTTGATTTAAAAGCAATAGTCACGTTTAGCAGATCAACATTCTAAAGAAATAATAGACATTAATATAAAGAAGACTAGGTGTTTTAGGTGAAGTGAGTGGCTTACTACTGATCTATGTCCATAAACTGCTAATTTAACCCCCCCCCCCAAAAAAAAAATCCAAAGCAAATGTAGCTTTTAAAGAGCAGCGTGGGAAAGAATATTTTGCTCCAAATCCCACCAGTTCTTTTTGCAAAAGGAATTAAGACAAAATAATGAAAATTAAGATAGGATTTTTAAATATTAGAATACACATGTCTTTGATTCGGTAATAAAAATGCAAGAAAACATTAGACATGAAAATGGTATTATTATTTATTCACCCAACTCCTCAGGCTTGGAAAGAAAAACACAGTATTAGAAAACAATAGTAGCATGTTCCTTTTAAATAAACAATTACAGCGTGGAGATGAATAAAGATGTGTGGCAATTATACTGACTGCTACAAGTTGTCTCTACCTACTTCAATTTAAAACTCTTTCCAGGGAAAGTTCTTCCTGCAGCACAATAGCAATAGCACTTAGACTTATATACCACTTCACAGTGCTTATTGCATATTGCCACCAACAATCTGGGTCCTCATTTTACTGACCTCGGAAGGATGGAAGGCTGAGTCAACCTTGAGCTGGTGAGAATCAAACTGCTGACAGCCAGCAGTCAGCAGAAATAGCCTGCAGTATGCATTCTAACCACTGCGCCATCACAAAGAGCAGATTGTGAAGGTATTGGAAAGGTTGTTTGAGTAAAGCTATTGAATGCCACAGCTGGAGAAAGATCTGGGGCATTTTTAAGAATAAAACTTACCATGACTATAGTGATTTTACACCAAAGACCTTTGAAGAAGAATTAGTTCCGCTGCATGAAGCCTGGAAAATGGGGAGCAGGCAATTGCATTACTCTGTACCAAAAGAATCCTATCTTGTACTTTTGTACAGCACAAAACTGTCACTTCCAAGGAAGGGATGGCATTCTGCTTTGAATATGCACGGGGAGAGAAGAGGCCATGATGGGTCAAGATCTTCACCCCTTCAACTACATGCACAAGTGTTTTGAGCGCATTTTCTGTGAACTGCAGTGGCGGAGATGGACGCCGCAAGGCGTCCAGTGCGGTAACGAGACCAATCCCAGAGAAGCCAGCGGGAGCCCCAGGGAGAGTTCTCTTTTCTTTGTGAAGGGCAGGGCACCCTGGAATGGGTTCGTCCCAAGAGAGGGGCCTGCATCTTGGAAAGTGTTGTGGTTCCGGCTGTTTAAAAAGAAGAAAGAATGGTTGATCAGATTGTGCGTAGACTATAAAGGGTTAAACTGTGTCAGCATGGAGAATATGTA